GTTTGTCAGAAAGAGAGAGAGAGGTACTTGATTTGAAAAAAAACGACACAAGCTCCCTCCCCCTTCCTTTCTGATTGGTCTACGCCTACGTTTCCGTAACACATTTAAATGTTGATAAGAGAACACATTATACATATACATTATTAATACACATGCACAGAGGTTTTCAGAATTATTTGATAACGTTTTCATTAAGAAAATAATGTTTTAATGCGCAAAAAATAAATGGGTACCTCAGCGCGGATGTTCAGAATTCTTTGTTCAGTTTTCATGTAGTTCCAGAGCCTAATAGAGGCTTGATTCGGAGGCTCCGTGAAAACAAACAACTGCGCATGCGCGCAGCTGCGAGCATCAGCGCAATGATTGACAGCCCTTGGCATCACTCGATTGGTTAAGGTGGACGGCATCGTGGATTCTGAGCTATAGCTAATAGAAGGGAAGGCGGGACTTACCTGTAATATTAGAATTAATAAAATGACTTATTTTATATCAACATTTAAGGCCAGGAGGTCAATTTAATACAATTCTTAAAATTTGTAATTCATTTAGAGTTACAGACTATCACTTTAATAAAGATAAATAATAATGATAATAATAATAATAATAATAATATAATTTCAGCAGCAGCTGCAGACACAGAAGTTAATTGTTCAACTGTCAAAATCATAAATGAAAAACCTGGCCCTCCTGGCTTGATGTTAAAGCCACTTTTTTCACACTCTTGACAGCTCACTCATGTAGCTCATTAGTTAGCCACCTTAATTTAGCATGTGCTTGTCACTGTTTTTCACAAGGAGAGCGTGTCCGGACATTTTCATCAAACATGCATTATTTTATCATGGTAACCTGTGTAGGTTTTACATGTTTTCTTGTCTAGAAAAAAATATATGTACATTAAATAATACATTAAAAAGATACAGAAAGAATTTGCTACTATCATCTGATTTGTCTCAGTTTTGGGAATATTATATTATCTTTCACTGCTCTGCTCCACATGAGAATAAAAGTGTTAAGCATCCTGTATTGTGCTTTTAAAGTCAACATTTAAATGAAACCATTGAGTCCTAAGCAGTGCACTAATGGACTGCTGTACTGTAAACAATATTCTTTATGCATCAGCCAAGTGACAAGTGAATTCATGCACAGACTGGCACTAAACAGCCAAGAAAACGGAGCCATTTGACCAACTGAATGAGCGCCTATCTCTTCCATCACCGGGAAGAGACAAACTACTGTACAACTAATTGTGTCTGTGTTAAATGTCCCATTAAAAAGGCACCAGGCACAATGTAGCAGCCTGATTATCTGCACGTATAGAAAGCAGCAATGAACAGACTTTGAATTCACACCACACTAATGTTGAGAAAACCAAATGAGAACTTTTGTGCAGTTTGGTTTGAACTGTAAACTACACAGGATGTCACGCTTTTGTAAAAGAAAAAATTAAGCCAAAACTATCGCAACTTCGCAAGACAATCATATACAACTATAGAACTCTAATATAGAGTAGAAACATAACTACATATAGGGGCAAATACTAAAACAAAATCCTGTAGTTTGAAAATGACAATGAGTATAGACTATTACCAGATACACACATGGTATTTGTGTTGTGTTAATCAGCATGAAATATAATTGAATCTTTTCTCTTTTTTTCTTTTTGTCTTTTCTAGATACTTGTTCTCTTTGGAGTGATGGCCCAAACAAATTATTTAATTGATTACTTCTATGCTCAGGACTTGCGTTTGTGATACAAGGCTTGAATGTAGTTGTTGATATGTAGAACATAAGGACCTCATTGCAGGTCTACTAAACATAAGTTTCACTGCACCAGTTATTTTTAGCCAAACCACAAGTGTGTTTTATTGACATGAGGTGTCTATAACACTATGAAGCAATGACAGAGTGTGAGGAGTAGAGCATCACTTTCTGTGCTTGTAATTACATGGTGTTCTCCAACTTCACTTTTTGGGCTCAACCTTTGTCTACGATTATAGAAAACAAGTGTCAGACCACTCCCTCAACAGATGAGTGATGAAAGAGCGGGTGGTTCTGGTTGTGTGGGAGGGTTACGAGGCGCCAGTCGCTCAGAGGTTAGAGCTTTTGCCCACAAAACCAAAGGTTGGCAGTGAGATCTCCAGTCTGACCAGTGCATACTGCTCTGTGGAAACACATAACGTTTGACTTCTTCTGCAGAGGGAAGTGCCAGGCCAGCTTCCTTTTTTATAATGTCAAATACATACATTTTCAGTAAAACAGCTTTCTCTTACAGCTGGGGTAACATCACCAAAAATCAATCTAATATAATCTTTATTACTAGTTCGTACAGTTTCATATCAGTTTCCCATCTCTAGTTTCCACATACACAAATTAGTCACAACTTTAGATCAGCTTTTTCAAATTGGAAAGTCTGTCAGTTCTTAGTCCAAAGCATCAAATAGTGACTCTGTCTTTTTACTTTTATGAAACAAAAATGTTAGGTACCCTGTAGCTTTAAGTCCATTGACCATTTTCCAATGGTATTGATGATGATCTGTTTTTCGCTACCAGACGGATATGAGGTTATTTGAAAACAAATCCAGCATTTTAATTAGAAAAGTGATGGAATCAAAGCAAAAGGAATTGCCATGAATTCTGTGAATGTTGAAGTGTTTACAATGACGCAATCTTTCCCCCAAAAAGGCATGAGTAAACAGCTGCTAACGGGAGCTGCAGCCAGAAACCACATGGACACATTTAACTTGAGTCCTCCCACTCCATGTGCATCTATTGACACGCTAATCCATGTCTGCATCTGGAAGTGAACTCCAACTCCCAGGGTCCTCAGCTTTGGCAGGCAGCCTTCAGCCTCCAGGGTCAGACAGGATACCCAGAAGGTCGGGATTAGTGATGGGTCTGATGACATGGGAGAACATGTAGATTGAGAGACTATACATCTTATGCTGCTCAGTCCGTGAGAGTGATTTTTCTTAGCTTTAATATAATAAAACTGAATAGTCTTTCATATATATTTCTTTGATGATTTCATGACTCGATCAATGTTGCACGGATGATGCACCCCCTTCCACTGTTCTACATTAACTACAAAGCAATAACTCACATTGCGACGGGTGCAGGGCCCAATCTGAATTTTATTGCATGTCCTCACTCGGTCTGGTTTGACTTATAATATTGTCATTATGGTGAGAGAGAGAGAGAGAGAGAGAGAGAGAGAGAGTCAGGGACAGTGTCTGAAAGCTTCACAAAAGCACCAGCTGCGAATGAGGAACAGCCAAATTCCCCATAAATTAACATTTATAAAAAACCAGTGCAAGGAGCGGGACCCGGATCTATCGTACAAGAGCACAGCCTGATCCCTAAAATGAATAATTGATTAATTTGAAAAAGAGTCGCCCGGAAACGCCAAGGGGTAATCTTGTTATTGATATGGTAAACCAAAGATACAGCTAGACCCATGTGATCAGGGAAAAAGAGTTTGAGTATTGCTCGATCGGAAAGAGAGAGCAAGACCTTTCTGCAAACTAAGTAAAACCATATTGACATTTTGTATCAACCAATGAATTACCCCAACAGCAAGAGTAGTAGCATTGTGAAATTTGGTTTGCAGATGAGATGTGACGGGACCCTAGACTGTAAGTAATGATGGAACAGGGGACCCTATTAGGATTTCAAGAGTATCCATCATGTTGGCGGGGTATGTGCTCTCCGAGTCTTCATCAACCTCTACACTTGGAAGGAAATAGGCAGATGTGAGACAATACGACATTATGCAAAAAGACATTTGTAATTATGTATATATAAAAGAATAGGGTGATGTATTTTTCTCAAGAAGAGGTGAATATATGTCATACATTTTAGGGATTTATATTTTGTAAAAAACATTTAATCAATGTTCAAACTCTTCCACAAACCGTTTTAAATGTTTTATAAGAGAATTCGCAGTAGACATATTAGAGTTGTTGGAATCAATGGACTTAGAACTCTCGGAAATTACCTTTATATGTCCCATTTATTAAAGCTATATTGTTTCATTAGCCTATTTTGAGAGTTTCATTGCATTCATTCTATCATTCTATTTATTGCAAACACACAGCACTGATCTCCTCTGGGTTTAATATAAACATCAGCCGGTGCCGTGACCATGACTGCTCAGGTGACCTCATAAAACGCAGCTGGGAACCTTGGGAATTCGGTCGTATTGGTGAAATAAATCACCCTATAACCTGGCAAACCACAGTCAATCCAGCCAGAATAATTATTTGAGGTTGTGGGCAAGTGCAAGTATGTTGTAAATGAGTTGTGAACACATAGCTTTTTACATCTTCTTCTATGACAAATTGATCATCACAAATACAGATGTTTGAGTATGCCCAGTATGAACCCAGTATAGTGCAGGTTGAGGGTTTTACATCCCCATCTGCTGCAGTCCTTGCTCGCTCTGACTCTCAACATCAAAACATGTGATTTGGTAACAAGGCAGTCTAATCAAAAGCGAAAGGAGAATGATGAGATGCCAGTGCGTCTTTGAATGTTGGCTCTGTTTGACAGCCCATTGTCTATGTTTTTGACCCCACCAAAGGACCACAATGGCAGGGAATACAATGTCAACTCAAACTGTTCATATGAAATGTAATACAGCCAATATCAGTCACATGAGTTCAATGCACCACTTATTCACTCTCAGAACAAAAAGTCATGTTTATAATCCAGGCCATGCTCCAACAGGGATCATTTCGCCCCAGCAACAACCAATGCACATCAGATAAATCAACATCCACAAATCACATAGGTAGTAATTGCGCTGCAGAGGGAAACCCCAAATGAAAGGTTCCTATGTCTTATATAATGTTTGTCATCGGGTGGACTGTCACGGTATAACTGTCATATGACTACAGAGTGCAATGTGATTCATGGGGCGTTCATCCAAAGGGAAATTGATGCAGAGGTCTGGATTGGAACCAGGTCAAAAGCTTCAGGTTTTACGCACAGCACGCTCGTACCTTTCACTTGGGTCTCGTAGTCCGCGATGATTTCCTTATCCTTCTTGTATTTTGTGGATGTCATGTTTCCTTCTTGTGTGTGCGACCCTTTGAGCGCAGAGGTCTCTTTGATCCAACACTGGTCCTCTGCTCGTAACCCCCAATCCCGCTCGCTCCTTCTCAGTCAACGTGCATTTAAAAGAACAAAGCTTGTGCGTGGCGTTTCTCCACAGACTGACGCTTTTGGTCACCTTTTGCGCAAAAACGGTGCAAAAATCACATCTGAGCTGCAGCGGCGCTTCCCTCGCATTCCTCGCTTTTCTTCCCGACTGCAAAGGAAGAAGAGGAACCCCCCTGTACTACCACCAGTCACAAGTCAGGAAAACAAAAGGCGGCGGATCTAGAGCTCAGAGCAGCAATAAGGACAACATGATAGTGGAGAGGGACGTGGCTGTGTCCAGACTCCAGACAGAGGCGCGCATGAGGAGAGCCGCCCAGTGCACTCTTCTGTCTCTTTCTGACAAATTGCGCTGCAGGGAAACAGCAATTTAAAAGACAGTCACGTGATTCTGCTCATATTGTCCGCCCCTCCTTCATACCTTATACTCCGGTCAAACTTCAAATAATGAATGTGCAGAGAATACTGTGGTTGTTATGGGTGTGATACAACATGCAGAAATGACCATCCTGCATGGTTAAATAGGTCAATTAGTAAAAAGAAATATACTAATGTCATGCAAGGGGATAGATATACTTTGCAGATGAAAATGCAGCATTCAAACAGGCGTGTAAACCTTAAAGCTACAGGTGAAATTGTGCCAAAAATGATGTATTATTAATTTATTACACATGCTTATAAGTTTAGTTGAAAATTGATAACATTGCAAGTTAATATTAATACTTTTTATTAGAGGATTCCTGGATACTGTATCATTTGGAGTCACTAGTGCTCAGTGACTCCAAATCATCATTGCCAACTATTGGTATGTGAATCAACATGGTGCCTTGATAGGTATTCACTACACACCTTATTTTGTTCATGCATCTTTTGTGAACTCTCATGGCTTGTGCCTTTAACACAAAGTTGTGCTTCAATTACTGTATCTATACTTTTCTGTATGTTATTCAATAAACACATACAGTTAATATTAGAATCTACAGTACACACATTTAAGGTTGGAGTTGAAGGTTTATAGGAAGATTTTCTACTTCTGGGTGAGTGATCAAGACTATTGGTCCTCCTAACTGTGAATTATTCTGGTGATACGTGCTAGTCAAATACGACAGGAGAGTTTTGTTCAAAAAGTGGAGAGGGCTGTTCTTTCCAAAAAAATTGGGAAAATCTATATACTACTTTGATATTGGACATATCTCTGAATATTATTACTATTATTATTATTATTATTATTATTATTGAACATTGCAGGTGGTATCCATTCATATGCCCCTATGAGAAAAATAATCTAAAATAAATGAATAAAACATAAAAGGTTATTGTGTCATTGCACTTTTTTTTCAAAAGTTTTAAAGGAACAGTTGTAATCCTTTAGCCTACATTTAGCAGAGAAAATGGTCCAAACCAAGCGGCTACTCCACCTTTTGACCTGTCCTGCTCTACCCAGAGGCTACTCCAACTCTGCTGCTCTGACCCGTCCTGCTCCACCGAGAGGCAACTCCACCTCTGCTGCTCTGACCCGTCCTGCTCCACCCAGAGGCTACTCCATCTCTGCTGCTGTGACCTGAAGGCCTGTGGCTGATTATTACTATTGTTATGTTTTTTTTTTTTTTTTTTTTAGAATGATCAATTTTAGTTTTTATTTTTGCTACTACTGGACACTACTGCATTTCTCCTTCGGGGGATCAATAAAGTATCTATCTATCTATCTATCTATCTATCTATCTATCTATCTATCTATCTATCTACCAGTTGTTTCACATCTAGTGGCGCAGTGAGTGTTGCCAGAGGCCAAAGTGACAGCAGGCTGCTTTTGTTTACATGTCTGTCCCACAAGAGCCACTCAGAGGAGTCTCCCTGTCAACGCACTGATCTTGTTTGGCTTCTCACAGTACCCAGGGGAACAAGCATCTGAGGTGGAATGTCTCTTTGTGAAATTGTTGTTGCGTTATTGATCAGATTCTAATCACACTCCAAATTTAAAGTATCAATGCACTTATATATAGAAATATGATAAAGTTTCTCTCAGACAGCGTTTTCTTATTTGCAACAATATTCGGTCATTGTGACGAATAAATGGAGACGTCCATGTGAAATAATTGTAGAGAAAGAAATCTTATCCTCGACTGAGCATTTACAATTCAGAACCTTGGTGCCATCTGTTGGACAAATAATATAATTACAAAGTTATGACTGGGATATTCTTAAATCAAATGGTTGGAAATAAACATTACGTTACACTTTTATTAAAATCCTTTATCAAAACAACAGTTTAAAACAAAATGTTATTTCTACACAGTAGAAATAGTGACCATTTTGTATTTGTTTGAAGAACACTTGCTTTTATTTTGAAGGACTTCCGGTCGGCGAGCGGACGTTTTGACAGCAGCTAGATCCTCGTGCAGTGCTGTCTTTAGGAGTTTCCTGAAAATAAGGTTTACGAGGTACTGTTGTCATTTTAATTTGGAGCTAAACCACATTCACGTTGTACTCACGTATTCGGACATGAGATGTTGCATATTAAGTCTTATTTTAACATCTGTGAACGAACTAAAGCTAACGCTAGCTAGCAACTCTCAAGTTTGAATGAATGAGATTGTTTCCAGACGTGAAATTCCATAGTATTTAGAAGCCTGCACCAGTGTGTGGGAAAGTATACACGGTACATATAGTTATGGAAGTTTACCTCGTTCACAGGTGCGTATCGAGGACGAGCTGTTCGGAGACAGATGTCAGAGCAGGGCGGTGAGTGTGAGCCTCCCGGGGGCCCCCCTATCACAGTCACTATCGGGGCCACTGTCCCCACAGGCTTCGAGCACACTGCCTCCGAGGAGGTCAAGGAGAAGATTGGAGTGGAGGCTAAAATAAGCAAAGACAGGGGGAGAATCTATTTTTCAATTACCTCTGATAACCTTTTCCAGGTATTTTTGATTAATGCCTTACTTCTTTGTGATTACTTAGTTGTGCTGTAATTTGTTTATGTATTTTACAATATCTATTCCTGTAATTTGTGTTTATAAACCTACTGCTTAGAATACACGACCTATTCACTTGTGAGTACATTGTACCAACTGCTGGAAAGTAGCATTACTGTAGTATGTTTTTGAACAGGGATAGAAAACTATATTTTTTTTGGGGTCGCATGAGAAAGATATAATATTGTGGAGGGCCGTGTCAAAAATTTGACCTCTAAATTACATAGTATTAGTTGTAATATTTTTATTAGTAAACGTTCTCCGTGAATGTGCGTCAAAAAACTACAATTGCTGGGTTGGATCTGACGTCATGCACGTAGCGGTTCGAAAGTCCTTAGAAGGACAGGAAGTAAATGGAAGTAAACAGGTCACACTTCCTGTTTAAAGTAACATGTGTGCCCTATTTATTGTATTATTAATCTGAACAGTTATCTTGTTATCAGTTATCTGTTGATCCCAGAGTGACCAGCCCCACTGACATCACTATAACAGCCGCTTAATCTCTTCATTGTTGAAAAAAAGACAGAGTAAATACACTTATATGAAAAATAATAACAGGCCGGATTAAATTGCTTGGTGGGCTGTTTTTGAGTCTTACACAATTTATTGACCTCTGCATAAATCATCTCTTTGCACATAGGTTCATCGCCTAAGGTCTGTGGACAACTTGTTTGTTGTAATTGAGGAATATGACCATTACCAGTTCAAAGAATCAAAGGTAAAATGACCTGAAATGTAATGAATGTGGACGTCCCTTAACTGTGTGGATGTCTTTGACTGGTTATCAGGAGGAGACATTGGAAGAACTGAAGCAGCTTGCTTCCAAACTCCCTTGGACCAATGCCTTAGAGGTTTGGAAATCAAATCGGTCTTTTAAGAAAAAGAAGAGTCACCGCAGGGGAACCAATAAACCCAAAGTGAAAACCGAGAGCGATGGTCAAGAGACGTCAGAGGTGGAGGAGAATGAGGAGCTCCCTGAGCCTGAAGACCAGTCCAGTGCTGATGCTGAAACGTCTCCTCCTGACCTTGAGGAAACCGCTGAGGCAAAGGTCATCAAGTTTCGTGTGACCTGCAGCAGAGCAGGAGACAAGCACAGTTTTTCTTCTAATGAAGCGGCCAGGGATTTTGGTGGAGCTGTGCAAGAACATTTTCAGTGGAAGGCAGACATGACAAAGTTTGACATAGAGGTAGGTGTGTCTGTGAAGCCAGGACTGACGTAATCATGTGTCAGAACAAATCAATTTATGAACTAATTTTGTAGTATCTTGAAATGTAGATTCATTTAGAATTGTTTTTTGTCCTACAGGTTTTACTTAATATACACAATGAAGAAGTTGTCATTGGTATTGCTCTCACAGAAGAAAGTTTACACCGGAGAAATATTAGTCACTTTGGACCTACCACTCTGCGCTCCACTTTGTGCTATGGGATGTTAAGGTACTTCTTTGCCAACAATGTTTTCCTAATATCATATTAACATTATCCACATAGAGGATAAAAAATGTTTTCTCTTTTAAAGACTGTGTAAACCTCAGCCGTCTGACATTATACTTGATCCAATGTGTGGAACAGGAGCAATACCTCTCGAGGTGAGAATACAAGTATAATAAAAATGGTTCTTCATTCTCTTAGACTCACAAACTTTATTGACTATTTACCCACTCCAGGGGGCCATTGAATTTAACAATGCTTTCTACATAGCTGGTGATAACAATGACATGGCAGTTAACCGCACAGTCAATAATGTGTTCCACTTTCAAAAACAAAGAGTGGACAAGGGCAGGTAAGAGGCGGTGGTCACATTTATATGATTAACTGATGACAATTGTGATCTTTTTTTCTTTCCTGTCACAGTGCATCTGGTTTACCCATTGACACAGTAAGATGGAACCTCTGTAACTTGCCCATGAAGACAAGTTCGGTGGACATTATTATCACTGATATGCCTTTTGGAAAGAGGTACTTTTGACCTAGTTTTAACACAGGTAATTAAGCAACAATGTCCAACTTTTGTACTTATATATATATTTTTGCATTAAGAATGGGGTCTAGAAAGAAGAACTGGGACCTTTACCCATCCTGCCTCAGGGAAATGGCCCGTGTGGTCAGACCAGGCTCCGGAAAGGCTGTCCTGTTGACACAAGACAAGAAGTGCTTTACCAAGGTAATATCATCATCCCAGTTAATTTTCCACTGAAAGTTTTGGCACGGTAGTCATTTATAAGTTTGGTTAGTGTGTGGGTTTCGCGATGTGTCACACACAGTCAGTGTTTGTGTTTTCGTCATAATACAATAACTGGATTTATAGCAGTACATTACATCACAGTTTCTTCTATCATCTTTGGGTAATTCCCCAACTAGAGGAGGCTGTTTCTTTTCAAATTTGATTTATCAGTTCATTTCCCCGTTTGTGGAAATTTACTAGAGTTTTCCTTTAAAAGAATAGAACATTATGGACACTGGTCCTCTGCCCTTATGTATGTGTTTTCTGTTTTCTTGTTTGAACTGTTGGATTCTCTGATCTTTGTCCTCCGAGATTACTAATGTTTTGATTTAGGGCTATACAAGAATAAATTGAATTAAATAAAAATATTCTAGGGATTTGTAAATTCTCAGTTTCTCAGCATTACTTCTGTCGGTGTATGGATGAGTCAACAGTGCTTTGAAGGAGACTAAACAAACGTGTGCTTTGTTTATGGGTGTCTGCACTGAGGAGTGTAATGTGTTTTACTTTTTGCCCACGCGGATGTTGCATTGCAGGCGGTCTCTCGGATGGGCGGCCTGTGGAAGAAGATGCACACAGTGTGGGTGAATATTGGGGGTTTACATGCGGGGGTCTATCTGCTCAAACGCACGGCAGGCGAGTTCGGACAGACTCCAGAAGACATCTATGTACCAAAGGGGAACGGCGCCGATCATAGAGAAGAGAAGGACAACTCTGAGACATCCTAATTTATGCCCAAGGAATTCATTTATTGTAACCACATCCAATCTTATGTTGCTTAAAGAGAGGAAAACCATGATGGACAACTCAGTGTTCAAGTAGAAGTATTTCTCTTGTTGTTATAAGCTCAGTTTGTTGCCATATGTTATTGTTTATCTAATAAAGTGGTTATTTTATCCTTTAGATAAACTTTTTCAGCCGTCTGTCTCATTGTGTGACGTGTTCGTTTGTATTGAGTGGGTTCATGACGTTGCTTCTCTTCAGGCTGACTCACTCTTGTTTTAGTATTATTAATAGTAGTGTAGTACTGTAGTAAAGTAGTAGTACTATATTAATATAAATAATCAGTGGTAATAAGTGACATAGGTTACAAACAAAATATTAGATAAGATAAGAATTCCTTATTTCGTCCCACAGTGTGGAAATATCCCTACAGTTGAATCCAGAGATGTGGGACAAAAACTTAAAACCAGTGCAACTCTAACATACGTTTATTGTAAGAGTTTGGATCTGCCACAGTGTTAAACAAATACCCTATATAATTTTTTTCAAGCTGAACTCTGATCATTTTTTTCTAACTTGACCAGCCCTGGGTCATTTAGACCATAATTTAGACTTTACGTTCTTCTACTTTTAATTGGCCATATTGACTCAAGGGTAGCACAAGTGTAAAAGTAACCAGCTAATGTGCTAGCCCAGACCCAGCCCGTAGCAGAGGCTGTATAGGCAAGTCCTAAGGACGCCATCCACCTGGGGCAGGGAAGTTCAAAATAAAAAATATTCTAATCTGAAAGAGGTTTGTGACTACTCTCACTGCCCTCTACTGCTGTGCAAAGTAATATTCACTTTTACCGTGGAAATTGGGATAATGTGCAATATTGTTCCAAAATGCACTTTTTAATATATATATATACTGTGTATGTATATATATATATATATATATATATATATATATAATTAGGTTTTTTTGGGGTTTTTTTGTATCTGAAAGAGTTTATGACTACTTTGACATAGGGCCAAACCAAACACTGGTCATTGGTATGTTTGTGAAGTCCGCCCGGGGAATCTGAAGTGGTGACGTCACACCCACCTAAAAGCCGCGTCTGGAGCCGCGAGTCTGCAGAGTGCAGTACGCGACATGATTTGGACGATCATTTTACTTATCCAAGCGGCCATCCTGTACTGTATACTAACCCACAGAAAAAGGTAAGATACATTATTCATTAAGGCTGCTATTAAACACGAACAGTAATAACGAGATAAAACTGTCTTCGCAGAGTTAGAATTAGGATTTCAGTCCACGTTGTTGTCCTATCTGTGTATCTATTCAGTACTTAGAAACTACTACTCGCATTTCTAAGTCAATTATAAATTCACTTTCATTGAACATGTCCACATGTTTTCTAACCTACTTTTCAGAATATCATATTTAGTCACTTTGTTGAAAAGAATGTGGTTGAGCTGGTGTAGTTTCTAATTGGGGTTCCCGCACGAGATTTTCATTATATATTCAAACATCATTCTAGTGCTGTTTGGATATATAAAAAATAAGGTTTACTTTATAAAAACAGAATACAGGCAAATCACAGGCTAAGCCTTGCCCAGGTCCTGGCTCTGGTTTTGAACATAAACTGTTCTGACCAGAGATAGCATAATATCAAAATGATTAACAGATATTTTTGCCCACATCCCAGAGACCCTATAATATATAATAATAACATGTTTAATAACGAACATACCAGATCCGTGTCTGGCCCTCTGTGAATATATACTCTTAAAAATCAATCATTCTAATGCTTGTTAAAAAATCACAGAAATAAAAGATCAGATTTCTGGTCTTCCATATAATTTGATGTTAGACCGTTTGATCCAGGCCATTTATTTTCCTCTTGGCATAATTGCAGTGACGCATGGTAATCATTCACGTCTAATATCCATGATTTGGATAATTGACATCTTAAACCAGCAATAATGTTGTTAATACAATGACCTTAAAAACACAACACGCAGCTTATGGGGACAACAATGGAAAGGTGTAGATGGCATGCTCTGCGTTGGTTATTGTTCTGTGTCATGTGATTTGAAGGTGTGCTCTTTACAGATACAAGACTGATCCTCCGCTGGACAAAGGCATTATCCCATGGCTGGGACATGCTCTTGAATTTGGGAAAGATGCATTTAAGTTTCTCGCTCGAATGAAAAAGAAACATGGGGACATCTTTACAGTAAGTGAAAGTAGTTATTAACACATTAAAATGAGATTGTACCTTCATAACTCTGATGTGTAATTTTCCCTCTAATGTTTATTAATTCAGTCGTATAACTCCTTTGAATTAATTTGCAGCACACATTTCTGTCAGATATAATCCACTTGTTTGAATCTTCAACGTGTGTTGTTATTCGGAGAATTCAATATTTAGCTCAATAAGGGGTGAGATTTATTAACATTGCACTAGATTATACAGTATTTAGATTTTCAAAAACTCCTTGAAAATGTACTCCTCCTTGTAATTTGCCACTGTCTTTTTTTCAATGGTATTCATCTGTGTATCCAACAGAAGAGCAAAATGGGTTTTTTTAAGAGCAAGTTTTTTATGTTGACTTTTTTCTGTATTATATGTATTCTATTTATCTTAACCTAATAACCTTATTATTATTACCACTCTTAGCGGTGGTTATTCAGCACTTTTTATGACACCCAAAGCTTTAAATGGCATTATTTATTAACTTCATACCTGGTGGTGATAATCTCTTGCTGTGGCCACCGCTGCCCTGGGGCAGACTGACACAATGAATCTGTACCATCAGTCCCTCCACCACACACCAGAGTCATGTTTTGAGGCTCATCTCTCTTCTGGGACTTAGTTTCTTGTTGCTAGAAGCGGCTCTGCTCCTGGTGCAGACGGCTCCTTGGATGGTGCTTCTTTGGTTGTTTATCTGCACTTAGCCTCATATTAGTGTGTGTGTGCATGCGTGTATTTCACCCACACGCGTAAGAAAGCCATGGTCTGCATCCTCAGTGAAGGCAGTGGAGAAGACTATGATGTCCTTCATATAGAATGGAACTGCATTAACGCCTCTCCGGATGATCTTACACATTAGGCATTAAATCGGCATAAAATTCTATATAAAAAATAGAATCACTGCAATTAGGAAAAAAGCTCATTATAATGTCCATGTGTCTAAAACCTTTTCTGGAAATGTATTTTTTTTATAACTTAAAAAGTAGTTCCAGTACAGTCCTGAATAATATATATATATATATATATATATATATATATATTTGTATATATATAAAAAACACACCTTTCCCGCAGGCGGTTATCCCTCTCTAAGCTCGGGTCCTCTACCAGAGGCCTGGGAGCTCAAGGGTTCTGCACACTGTATCTTTGCTGTTCCTGGCACTGCACATTTCTGGGCAGAGATTTCCAAGGTTGTTCCAGCTTTGGGGTCACTGCCCCGAGTGCACCGATCACCACGGGCACTACCGTCACCTTTACCTTTACCCTCCAGGCTCCTCTCTGAGCCCTTGGTATTTCTCAAGCTTTTCATGTTCTTTTTTCCGGATGTTACCATCGCTTGGAATTGCCACGTCCACCACCACGGCTGTCCTCTGCCCTTTGTCTACCACCACAATGTCAGGTTGGTTCGCCATTACCATTCGGTCGGTCTGTATCTGGAAGTCCCACAGGATCTTTGCATGCTCATTCTCCACCACCTTAGGAGGAGCTTCCTACTTAGACCTTGGAGTTTCCAGCCCATACTCTTCACAGATGTTTCTGTACACTATGCCAGCCACTTGGTCATGGCGTTCCATGTAGGCCTTCCCTGCCAGCATCTTGTACCCCGCAGTTGTGTGTTGGACGGTATCAGGTGCCTCTTTGCACAACCGACACCTTGGGTCTTGTCTGGTGTGGTATATCTGGGCCTCTATCGCTCTGGTGCTCAGGGCCTCTTCCTGTGCAGCCATGATGAGTGCCTCTGTGCTGTCCTGTAGGCCAGCCCTTTCTAGCCATAGGTAGGACTTCTTGAGATCAGCCACTTCTGTTATGCTCCGGTGGTACATGCCGTGTAGGGGCTTGTCCTCCCATGATGGGCTCTCCTCCAGCACCTCCTCATCTCGCCACTGTCTGAGACATTCACTGAGTACGTCATCTGTTTTGGCCTTCTCCATGATGTAGTTATGGAGTTTGGATGTTTCGTCCTGGACAGTGGCTCTCACTCTCACTAGTCCTCGGCCTCCTTCTTTACGGCTTACATACGGTCTCAGGGTGCTGGATTTGGGATGGAACCCGCCATGCACGGTGAAGAGCTTTCAAGTTTGATCAAATCTTTGGTCTGAATCTCTTCCTGTAGAGTAAATCTTAAGTGACCCCAGTCTTTGCGCAAATAGAACATGATAGAAGTTAACACCATGTCAATGGGTCCTTCAGAAAGGGTGGGTCCCATATGGTACGGCCCTGTCATAGGGCCCCACCATGGAGCAGAAACGGTTGTATGTGAGTGTGGGTGAGTGAGTGGGTGGACTGATGTGAGACTGGAACAGTTCTGTATGGGTTGTTGTGGGTTTGTTTTTAATAAACTGTCAAGCACTTTGTGTTACATTGCTTTTTGAAAAGATTGACTGATGTATTGATTACCGTCATTATCATTACAAACATAATCTAAAGCTATGGTCAAAGTGGGGCAAACTACTTCATCATTTTTCCTTCTGTAAATGTTTTGTAGGTGCGTGTGGCCGGACGTTATGTGACTGTCCTCCTGGACCCTTTCTCATACGACCTGGTTCTGACTGACAGAGACAGCCTGGACTTCTCCCAATACGCAACAGTGCTGATGGACCGGATCTTTCAGCTGAAGCTCCCACATCACATGCAAAATCAAAGCAAAGTCATAATGAAAAAGTAAGTCCAGTAGAGAATCCAGTGATTGTACAGTATAGCTGAAGTAACAACAACTTGTCTGAACATCTTTTTATATTCATAAATATTTATGCCAACATTTTGGGACCAACATTTTGGAACTCTGTATTGATCAGGCATGGAAAGCCACTAGACAAACGTAGGCGTTCCTTTAAACTTATAACTTAATAAACGCTATTGTATTTTAGCATAAGATTGTTGTTTTTCAAGGTAGCTACCTTGAAACATGAAAATGCCGTGCACATCTAAGCAATTGCAATAAAACCTTAAAAAGCTTCTACTTGTATTATTTTAATGAATGCTTATACTATTGTCATTATATATATATTTCTCATTCCATAGTAAAATAAGTTATAGCCGTGGACTGGCATTTGGAGGAATTATCCATGTGACAAATGGTTTTATGCACATTCATTATCATGTTCTGTATGAACTGTCCTCACTTCACACCCTGTCTTTCTCAGGCACTTTCTTGGCATGAATCTGATCGGCTTAAACACCTCCATTGGACGTCACTTGCACAATTTGATGAAAGCCGAGCTCTCCGTGAACCAGAAAGACTGGAAAGAGGAGGGACTCTTCAACTTTTCCTACAGCCTGCTTTTCAAGTATGAACTACTTCTCCAAGCCTAGAAGTAAAAAAAAAAAAAAAAACTGATGGCGCCAAAACATGTGGTCTTGTACCTAAACAATTTACCCAGCATTCTCTGTCCCTGTCCAGTGTTCGTAAACAGTGATAATGTGGTAAACTTAAATGTTTGAGGTCACTTTTCCGGTTGTAATAAATCACTTAAAGTCTTTGAAATAGTGACAGAAACTAGACAAACTACACTGGTTCGTGCTTTCTTGCTGTGTCACTTAAATGTCAACTGAAACGGGATTGTCAACGGAAAATGTGTGGGTTGCTTATCTCAACGTCAATTATCTAAGCCATTCATTATCTTGGACTCATTCCCATTTCTGTCTTGTTTCTTGTTTTTGCACAGGGCTGGGTATCTCACGCTCTTTGGCGAACAGAACAACAATGTCACAGACCCATCAAAAATATATAAAGAGTACAGAACGTTTGATGGGCTACTAACAAAACTAGCAAGAGGCACGCTGAAGCCAGGTAAAGACAGTTTATATGTTTTTACCCTAATAAGTGGGTTGAAGATGGTTTGGGAAAGTGAGGCAGCGAGAAGAAGTATATTATCATAACCAACTAAAATGTTTATGGTCAGGAAATATTTATGGCTGGGTAATTGGTCAAAGTCAAAATATTATTTGTTTAGATTAGTGATAGTAATCATGCTGTGATGCTCCAGTTAAATTCTTTTATTTTATACAAAGACCACTAATCCTTGTTTAAATTATTGGAACATTTTTAAAACACTCATCAAATCACCTATATGAACTATTTTTTTTTTCTGGATATACCATTAGAAGTACATAAGAAAGCCATTAACTTTGAGACTTGAAATGAGATTCAGATTGAAAATGGGTGTAAATAACGGATTGTTGACAAATACAAAGGCTTTTCAGACCCATTAATAGGAATTGGGTAGACATGACCTAGTTGTAGATACTCACTAATATTAGAAAGGTTGTGAAAAATTGTCAAAAGTAATTTAATTAAAATACTAAATTCAGTGGTTACGCATGGGTAACGTATGTACTCACAATCTCTCGACCCCTTTGTTTTATGAGTGCAAATCAGTGATGGCTCTACATTCTGTAAAATCATTTGTTTTGTACCTTTAACTCACTCTCACTCTCTGAACCTGGCAGAAGAGAAGAAATTGTCTCAGTCTGTTCGTCAGCGGCTGTGTGCACTTCTGTCTCCTGTGGGGGGAGGCGAGGAGGACTCTGGAGCCGGGTCCTGGGTCCACAGCTACAGGCGGATGCTTCAGGACGAGGGAGTGGATCATGACACCCAAAACAAGGCCCTACTCATGCAGCTCTGGGCCTCTCAGGTGACTGTCCGAATGAGTCTGAGATAGTAGAGTAGTAATATGCAAATTTGCTTTATTTTAATTGCAGGCGTTTCTGAAGCTTATTTTCAGGTCTCTCATTAAGTGTCCTAAAACAAAACTATAACATCTTGAGAAAAGCACACTTATGGAGGGCGACGTCTGAGCCTATAAGTTAGGCAGTAGCATTAAGGATCTTGCCCAAGGACCCACACTGGATGTTGGTGTTAATGTGCTCCCGGTCGGATTATATATATATATATATATATATATATATATATATATATATATATATATATATACATATATTCATCAAGCTTTGATAAAGACACGTGCTTCATCTTGAAATTAGATAGTACAGCATGTAGTTTAGATAAATACATGCTTCTTCTCCTTTCCTAATGTGATATGTAATGTCCTCTTTTGCCAGTAGGGGTCACTGTCCACCTTTGAAAAGTACAGTGAAAGGAGTTAAGATGTTACATTTGGTTCAATTTTGAAAATGATTGCACTAATTGGACTAATCTAAATGTGCTCCTGAAATGTCCCTTTGTAGCTGTTATCCAAGAATTAAGGCTGTATTTGTTTTGCAAAATGTAAATGTACATGATTCCTTCCTGATTCTATCTCATGTCTTGTGATACTTTAACATTTGTTTAGATAATATTTGAAAGAGCCCTACCTGAGGAGGAAAGTGCTCTCTGAGTTAGATAAAACATAGTGTGAGCAAACACGGGGTGTGCTGTCGCTAAGCAGCTCCTGAGTGAAGGAAGGCCCTCAGTTATAAAGCTCATGTGTTTGTTTTCAGGGGAACGCGGGGCCAGCTGCATTTTGGCTCTTGGGATTTCTTCTGACCAATCCAGACGCAATGACAGCAGTGAAGAAGGAGTTTAGAGGGATCTCACAAACAAGTGAAACATGTTTATTCAATGTGAAAACTCCAGTGTTCGGTGAGAGCAAACAACATGGATTCACATTCAACAATATTATATAAAGCTCTTTTGACGGCATTTGTTTTCCTCCTTTTACTTATAAATAAAGATTACTTACTTATTTACTTACTTTTACTCCAATAAAACTAAACTCCCGTTAAGGGAAGGCAAGTTTATTTCTATATCACAGTTCATACACAAGGCAACTTAACAAAAGTGCTTGAAAAAAAGATAGAAGTAATAAAAAGCATTAAAATCACAAACAATCACAGCACTAATAAGAGTTAAGATAAATCTCTCAGTTGTCTACGCAGCTAAATAGAACTGTTTTTAACCTGGATGTAAACATTAAGCTTTATCTATGCATTATGCGTCTTTGCCTTTCCAATTAGGAGGCTCTAAGCCAGTTCAACTGGTTCAGTTGGACACCCCTGCTCTATTTTCCACTCTTCTTTGTCTTCAGATACTGTCTCTGTATTTGCAAAGCCAACTATATACTATATTAGTCACAACTATATTTTGTGACAACTGAACAACCTAATGGCTTATTTGGTGGTTTGACTTGTTTAACATATGTTTGTTTAATTGTTAAATCACAGACAGTGCTCTTGAAGAAACTCTCAGACTCACTGCTGCCCCCTTCATCACAAGAGAGGTGGTGCGTGAGAAAACCATCCACATGTCAGATGGCCAAGAGTACCGGCTCCGGAAAGGGGACAGACTCTGCCTGTTCCCCCTCCTCAGTCCTCAGATGGACCCAGACGTTCACAGTGAGCCCCAGGTAGGTTTGCATTTTCACAGGGGCCGATAGAATGTTTTAACTACGAAGATCGAATCCTCACCGTTGAAACTCCTAAGCAAGTTGTAAAATATGAAGCCTTATTGTATGTAGAATTCTAGTTCAGTTGGCAGGCAGGTGCCAATAAAACTCTATCAGAAGAAATATTTTATAGAAAAAACATTTCCAAATGTTTTCCCAGATCATCATTTGGTTAGATTCACAAACCGACCATAACCACATTAAACCAACCATATTATTCTTATGTCTGAAAGTCCTCTCTGGCCAACAATATTGTTACCACTTCGAGACCCCTGTATGAGTTAATAAAAAGTCCACAGTTGAAATTCGTACTGACATAGAAGATGGTGAACTCTGTGGCAGTATTTGTTTCATGAGGATCGTCCAGGGAATTACAGAGAAATTGCCTCTAAACAAAAATTTGAAGTCCAACTTTTGACTCTAGTTTTCATAACAGAAAATCTGCCTTCCACCACAATGTTAAATAAACCATAGGATCTTTGGAATGTTGTGATGTCACATTAACACTATGATGTTGCCAAAAGATAATTGAATTAGCAAGTAGCCAGAGACAGACTTAAGTGTGTCTCGCATTAATAGTGGTTTAGATTAAATGAAGTTAATGCCCACCCAACGCAGCTGACCCCACAGCGAGAGCTCACGTCCTGAGCCATGGACCAATGAGGGATTAGCTTCATTACACGGGAAGCACAGGCTAATAAGTCTGGGAAGAATCCTTACAACAACACTGTACTAAAAACTGTGTCTGTGTTATCATAGTGTGTGTAGGCTTTTTAAAGATGATGCAACCTAAATTGTGTTTACTTCAAGATTGTATTTATACATTTATATCAAACCATGGGACACTGTATTAATTGTGTACAGTAATCACTTTTCAACAATAATGTATTTGAAAAAGCCCCTCCTCTTGCCATAACTTCAACCAATTAGATTTGCTGGAGTGGAATAGTTAATGGTCATACCTGCATGTGAAAGCCGGATCCTGTCATACCCCTGAAGCTAAGCTGTGCAGAGCCTGGTCAGTACCATAATGGGAGACCTCTGACAACACCTGGTGCCCAATGGTGATTAATGACAGTGCTATATAAAGCTGATGCATTATTAAACCAATAACAAGGGGCCTCAAAGATTTTAATAAATATTGACCAGGATTGATCAGGAAGCTTCTGTGAACGTTAATAGCATTAGCATCTGCGTCTGTTATGTTTGCTTTTCAATCACGTATTCATATTACGTTCCTCCCTTCGCAGATATTCAAACACGATCGTTTCTTGAATCAAGATGGATCGCCAAAGACTGATTTTTACAAAAGAGGAAGAATGTTAAAATATTACACAATGCCATGGGGCGCAGGAGTCAACGGCTGCGTGGGGAGGCAGCTGGCCATCCACAGCATCAGACTGTGAGTATCCGCAGACTCACGCTGGACCAGGGTGATGTTCTGGTCACTAACTGTGTCTCCTCCTCTGCAGGTTTGTTTACATGGTGCTGACAAAGTATGACATTGAGTTGTGTGACCGCAACGCACACATGCCTGATGTTAACACAAGCCGTTATGGGTTTGGGGTTTTGCAGCCGGAGGGCGAGCTGCAGGTGCGATACAAGTTGAAACAATGAGATACTATGAATGAGATTTCAGTTTATTGTGTAGTATATTAATAATAATGTGTTTTTGTATCTGTGTCTGCAAATAAAAAATATTTTCAATACATTATTTTGTCTGATTAGGTTTCTTCCAACAAGATACAAGTCCAGGGAACATTTGGCTTAATTAATTTTTTTGTTTTTGTCTGTTTTTAAAATGCTGCTATCTGCAAACTACCTACAAACAGTGTGTAAGCCATCTTCACTTGTCTTTAAAAAGAACAAGAAAAGCATATTTTATTAACCCTTTAGGGCCCAAGCAGAATTGCTTCACAGCTGTTGAAAGGCACTTTCAACAGAAACCTGCTATTGATAGTTGAAATCTTCACTGTTGTGGATTTTTGTGGTCTCTCTATCACAACATTTCAGGTGTTCCACTTTTTGTCAGTTCTACAAAACTGGGACCTAATCTTCAAGAATGCAAAATGAATACTTGTAATTTTATATTTATATGGCGATTGTTTTTTGTTTTTTTTGACGCTCAAAGACGCTTCACATGTCATTATTACTTTACTTCAAAATTATGATAAACTACTACTATAGCCACATCTGCCCTGGGGCACACTGACGTGAGGCAATCAGTCTGTGCCATCAGCCCCAACAGCTACCAACCATTCACACACAATTAACACATTCTAGGCAAAGTGAAATGTCTTGCCCAAGGACACACTTGTACTTTGCACCTGCAGCCGCCCCACTGTGGCACCAGGTGCTCAGGGGTCCACCAACCCGTGCTAACCTGGCCCTGCCTTGTTTAGTTTAGATGTCACAAAATAATTATCTTTTACATGCAGGTTTGTCCACAATCTTGGCCACTCACAAGGTTTGAACAGTGTCTTATATGTCCTGTGCCAATACCAGTGCACGCCATTACAAAGCACTTTGTAAATGTCAAATAGTAATATCTATGTATAAAACATGCATCACCAGCACTTTCCAGTCTCTCCTCAGTAGTTTATCCTGTGTGCTACAATGTCGACAGGAGTTGAAGTGGCCCAGGAACACTGCCACTTGTATTTACAGTGTTTACATCATAGGCTTCCTTTTATTTAATTGATTACGGTCCACACCAGAGCAGTCACAAGGACTGGAGGTGTGCTCAGTGGTGCTCAGGGGGAGGGACGCTGGAGTCTCGCTGTGACACGGCTCTTCAGGGGTTAAACTGGAGGCTGCTGCTGCGCGCAGAGAGGCGGCTTCTGGATCACTGTCCCCCACATGCGCCTGGACTGACACCCGCCACAGAGACCTGCCTCCCCGCCTCTGCTCTCCTCGCTACTTGTTGACGGGGATAAGTCGTCATATGGGCTCGTTGCACACGGGACTGCATATCTTTTTTAACAGGAACATTGTGTTTCAGCATGTCGGGAGGCGGGGAGTAATGTATCCAGCTCCTGCCGTCTCCAGAAGACCTCAAGTTTGTGGTGGCCACTCGTGACATGTTTGCGGAGCTGAAGCGATCCAACCGGGGCACACGTACGTACTCTCGCTTTCAACATATGCCCAGTGGTTTTATAGAGTTGATGATGTAGCTTCAAGTTTGTTTCGCGACTGACATCTTTTCATTTTTGAGGTGAAACGCGTACATATTTACTCAACGCTTTGGCTGTGTTACATGGGTGGCCAACACATGCGCAGCTGACTTTACATTGCTGTGTTCGGTACTCTTAATCAAAGTTGATAATCGGGGCGAGAATTATCAGTAATCCCTGCAGAGAACAGACCGCTCTTGAGATGCCATTCACAAGTTCACGACCAAAGCGCACAGATTTTTGAATTAGGAAGGACTGAGGCGACTTCAGCACCACAGACAGCGCACAGTGATGGATGGACTGACGTTTAAGCACCGGACAGCGCCCCCAGTCCTGGACTTGGGGCAGGCTTAGATTTCTGATTACCATGAGACATTATCAATCAACCAATAAGACTCATAATCATACATAAGGACATTTTCATAGAATTATGTCTTTGCAATGTTGTAGGTTGTTTAAAAATACTAATACAGTATTCTAAACTGACTTTTTTTGTTGTATATTTTGCATTATACCATGTCATAGAAAGGTATGCAACAGACTATGTTTCTTATTGGCTGGCCTCCTAGCCCCCACCACCACACGAGTCAGCACAAAAAGGCTGTGCCTGTTAAAGCTGATTAGAATATCTATTTGCTTCTCTGATGAGTGGATAAACCACAGCACAGACAGGTGTAGGACACAGGTTATGTGGAACCAAACAATACAAAACACTATGTAACTATATACTTTGTTTTATTTGTTGGCACAGGTGAAGAACCCTGATGTGTCCCTCTACAGGATCCTGCCCTAGTCCACCAGCTGGCTGCATGTCCCAGTCCTTTTACCTGAAGAAGTGAACTACTCAATGATAGGTGGAGCTCGGGCAACCACCCTACCACCCGAAACCATGGACATTATCAGGAGCAAGTCTCAGTCTCGTCGGGTGAGGCTCAATGTGGGTGGGCTGCTCCATGAGGTCCTGTGGAGGACACTGGACAGACTGCCCCGCACCAGGCTTGGGAAGCTGAGGGACTGCAACACCCACGAGTCCATCATAGAGATCTGTGACGATTACAGTCTGGAAAACAATGAGTACTTCTTTGACCGGCACCCAGGGGCCTTCACATCCATACTGAACTTCTACCGAACAGGAAAGCTGCACATGATGGAGGAGATGTGTGCCCTGTCCTTCAGTCAGGAGCTGGACTTCTGGGGCATCGATGAGATCTACCTGGAGTCCTGCTGCCAGGCGAGGTACCACCAGAAGAAGGAGCAGATGAACGAGGAGCTGAAGAGGGAGGCGGAGAACCTGCGCGAGCGAGACGGCGAGGAGTTCAGCACCACCTGCTGCGCCGACAAGAGGATGAAACTGTGGGACCTGCTGGAGAAACCCAGCTCATCCTTCGCTGCTAAGGTACAGTCTCCTGAACACAGCTGTAATTATCCCAGAGATAGAGCAGATCGAGTGGACAAAGGCAACCCAAGAGACAGACCAGCCTATACACTCTATTTCAACACTGACTTGAATCCTCATGTGAGCAGACATTTCTCATTAACCTTTATCATTTGGTAGATCATCTTTTGAGTCTATATCTACTTTAAGCTTGGAACTGAAATCTACATCATTGAGGCATCTCACTTGGTTTTAGGCACTCCTACCATAAAACTACATTTGATAAAGGCCTATGATGAAAAAAAAAATTGTATTATTAGAAAAAGAAAAAAAAAGAAAAACTGACATTGCTTTCGTTTCTTATTCTCTCTGTAGTTTGTCTTTTTCTGAAAATGAAAACTTGTTTTGAGGTGTATGTTGTTGATATTACATTCTGTTTCACAGCTTCTATTCCTCTGTGGCAGTTATTGAGGGTTTTTATCTTCAGAAATTTGAAGAGGATGAAAAGAGCAGCTGTATTTGTGTAGCTAGATTATAATGGTGATGGTTTTAGACAAATAATTTTTTAGAAATATAGATATAGAAATAAAGATAGACTTATGTTGCTATGTACAAAGAGCTCTCACTTCACTAAACTGCATCCAAGAACAAAGTTTGCAAATTTTTGGGTTTTTTAAATGCATTTGAACAGCTCTATATTTGTTTTTTACAATACAAATGAAACAAGCATTGAAATACATTATAAACATTCAAATTAGTGCGTATTAACTATTCCTATTCAGCCGAGTCCTGACTAGAACCAGGAAGTACGACCACATTAGTCCAGTCCTCAGGTCTCTGCACTGGCTTCATGTGGCTCAGAGAATAGACTTTAAAACAGCTCTGCTTGTGTACAAGTCTCTCCATGGCCTCGCACCAAAATATATTAGTGACATGTTAGTCCCATATGAACCAGCCCGGACTCTGAGGAGCACAGGGACTGGACTCCTGTTAGTGCCAGAGTAAACATGGGGAGGCTGCTTTTCAGATTCATGCTGCTAAAATCTGGAACAAACTTCCTGAAAATGTGAGACAGGCCTCCTCTCTGACAATACATAAATCCAGAAAAAAACTGTTCTGTTTAGCTGTGCATACAACTGAGGGAATTTGTATTTTTATCTTTCGTTGTAATGTACTGTGATTATTTGGGATTTTAAAGCCTTGTGTGACTGTCTCTATCTTGTTTTTTCCCCGGTACTTTGAGTTGCCTTGTGTTTGAATTGTGCTATACAAATAATCTTGCATTGCCTTGCCTTGGATTTGACCAGTGCCAGTGGAGACTCCTTTTGTGATTGAGGGAAAAAGCAACAGATATTGACTAAGGAGTTATTGACGCTTTAGTTCTCTCTCTTTATTGAACTGCTACCACAGTTTGTGCTGTCACCGTGTTCACTTGTAATTCAGTTCACACAACTATATCGGAGAATACAAAGATACGTTAAAACAACTCTGTACATGCAAGGGTCATTTTGGTGATTTTGAACTGAAACATAAGATTCAAAATTGATTTTTATTTCAAAACTGCCGAACTGAGAACTGATGGATAATCAGATACATATTTATTGTATGAGTTATTATTCGTGATCATTTCATATATATACATATATATATATATATATATATATATATATATATATATATATATATATATATATGATATATGTATATATATATATATGTGTGTACAGTATATACAATACTGTGTTGTGTTGCTATCGATGAAATGGCTTTGGCTCTACATGTCTGGCTCAGTTTGAAAGAGGATGTAAAAGATTGCCCAGTGGAGACACATTTCATCAGCCGGCCTAAATGGCTGTAGAGGAAGTTGTGTTCAGAATGATGGTGTCGGTGTACGTGAGCCACTGTGTTTTATGAAGACACTTTTAACAATCAGTATGAAAGGGCATGCAGGGTACATATGCTGCAGCTGTCCAAGTTCTTCCTCTGCCGTACGAGGACAGTGACAATAAAAGTGTCAGCTGAAGGTTAAATGGCTACTATCAAAGTGTGTCTTTTCCACAAGCTAATTTAAGATTTGCATCTGTGAAAATGGGTTGTTTCCAAACACGTATTCCAGCTCATTTATTTTTCAGAGCGGATGAAATTTTAATTGCACATTAATAACGGCTGACTTAATGCCGGAGAGAGAGGTGTGATCCTGAATATCCATAGTGCACATGTTACATCCTCTGTACTATTTAAAGTTACACCTCTTTAAGAATACACTTACATCTGACACTGACCCAGACACTGGCCCGTCTGTCACGTCAGAGTGAAGAGTAGGGACGTGTCACTGTGGTCGTCAGAGCGTTGTGGAGGGATTTGGGTTTTTCTTCTGTTTTTGTTCATCGACACTAGGAGAACTAAAAAGCCTTGAAGCATTTTACAAATACATGCAATACCAATGTACATGAGAGGGAACGCAACTGAAACAAACCATTAAGATGTGTCTTTGTCTTGGAGGACTTACCCTTTTCCTTGTGGAATGTCTCCTTACAAATGTTAACTGAAAAAGAGACAGAGAGTGAGAATGGAAAGTGTTGAAATACCAAAGAGACACTGAGTGTTTGATCCTGTCAGAGTTCAGTTATGTATAGAACCCAATGATATATACTGGCTTAAACGATCTCTATGAAAAAGTAAAGTTTGATAAGTTAAGCGCCGCTTTCTCTAACCTCCTGAGTGTAGTTTTCCTCATATTCTCCTCTCGCCCTGGTCGGGAGCAGTACAGTAGATCAGACAATAAAAACTGACACTGAGGCCTCGCCTTGGCAGAGGCTCTTTGAACTAATTGCATGGAAACTTCTCTGGTCGGGCAGAGACAGCTCTGACTGGAGGCGCTGAGCTTACTGCACATCCGAGATGTCCGGATGAATTCACTCTAAGTGTTTGTCCTTTGCTCCCGTCAGTGTGTGTTATGTTTCCTGCTGTATAATCAGCTGCAAATCGATCAAATGAGTTGTTGTAATAATGTCAAAAATCAATAGGACATTGTGAAGTGAGTATGGGTTGAGTGAGGACACGCCCTCAGGTTCCATTAGAGACGTCTGGGATGTGTGACTTCCCACGGCCCATTGCCCGCTGAGACGTGCATGAGAGAGCAGCGCCTCCATGATCAAAGAGGCGCTGCTGGAGGTGCTGCTCATCCGATCAGCAGCTCACATTTCCACACCTTCTTAAAATAATCAACCAAGTCATTCTTTCAGCAAACACAAACAACGTTGAAATTACACTCACACTCTCTTGACTCACGTGACCTGCTCAAATTAACAGTCCATAGGTGGCCAGCAACATGAGCAGAGGATTTAGGCAGAGGTTAAATATAGCAGTTGAACAGAAATGAATGACCTTTTTTATCATGATGTGATTGAGGGTGTTTTAACATGACATAACATACAACATAACGTGGTATGTGTGTGCGGTTTGGAAATGTGACTGTAAAAACAAAATTAGAACTGTACAGAAGAATGGTGTATAGCAGTTAAGGTTAGGGAGCATCCATCATTGCAACGGATACTTGAGGTTATTAGAAAAGCAAAGAAAAAAATTAGCACATACTGTATCCTTCACATGTTTTTTAGTCTCAGTATGAATAAAACAACTCCTTCCTCCCGATATCTGTGAACCTCGTGAATGCAGGCCATCAAGTGATTGTTTATGTCTGTCTTACTGAGTTTGTTCTATTGTATTTGTCTTACTTGTACTGTATTTTCAATGAAGCCGTCTGTGAGTCCGAGACACATTTCCTCCGGGACATAATGAATTAATCTTGAATCTTGAAAATGTCTGACTTTAAGAAGGTGATGATTTGCAACCTCCTCACCTTATCCATCACTTTAGATCCCAGTCCATGTGTTTATGACGTGAGTGTTCCCAGGTGACTGCAGACTCAAATGCCCTGTGGTCTGACGCCCTTATATGGATTGCTCACAGGACTTTACTGTAACTGATTGAGTTCTCTGGATCCTCTTACTTCATTAATTAGTCACATGTGTGTAACCTACTCAGAGTGAAAATACAGTTTGTGCGACTACTTATAGAGGCATAGAGTCTATAAACTGAAATGAAGAATAATAATGTAAACTGTCATCGTTCACAAATGCGCAGCAGCCTCAGAGGGTTCTTCTTACAGGACCTTGTGTTAGTTGATATTCGAGGCAGCTGCACAGTTAGACATACTGTTGAGGAGAGAACACAGAGCTGAATTAAACTAGCATGATACAGTCCAGTCCAGTCCTTCTGCTCCAGTTTCTCAGAGACATGCCCAAAGGTTAGAGCTCTCTTTGCGTCTTGTTCGTCTGTTGTTTTAAAGATTTTTGGGGTCAAATATGAAGACAAGGATGGAGACTCCAATGAAGCTATTCTAACAAAAAACTTAGCATTATTGATTTAAACGGTTCTCTGATGCAGCTTCTTCAGTGCCACAGACGAAGGGGGCGACAGTGGCTCAGTTGGTAGAGCATTGGCCTGTGAGCCTGCGGGTCGTGGGTTCGAGCCCACAGCGAGACCTTCTTCACCGACTCCCACTGATGTCTGCTGTCGTTGTGTCCTTGGGCAAGACACTTAATCCCACTTTGTCTGAAGCCCCTGCTGAAAGATCAAGGCTATGCTCTCACTGACAGAGCAGCCGTCCTCCAGTGGACTCACCACCTGCAGAGGATCAGTGAGGGGCTGGTGCTCTGTGACTTGGGTGGCATCACTGACTGCCACCCCCCCCAACCCAGAAATGGATTAAGGGGAAGAAAATGGATGGATGGATATCTCAGAGAAAACACAGATCAGAGAATCAATCCGTTCAAACACAATGCAATGCAATAAGTAGAAACACATACTGTATAGCCATTGGTCCATTGGATGACCCATGTCCATATCTATTAATATAATCATAATCGATTGATCAAAAGTATAATCAGCCAACTAATTGATTATCCAAATGATATTTAACTCTACCCCTAGTTTAATTACTTACTCTTATATTGCAA